TTTAGAAGAACTATCACGTCTCATGGTGAAAGCCGACTTCCTTCGGAAGCCACGAAGCCGATGTCCTTTCTAACAACCAGAGCAAAACGTTTCATAGGCACATGGAACGTACGGACAATGTGGGAGACTGGGAAGACCAGTCAAATAGCAACGGAAATGAGGGGATACAACTTGGCAGTACTGGGAATCAGCGAAACCCATTGGACCCAAGCTGGACAACAAAGGCTAGAAACTTGAGATATGCTGCTGTACTCCGATCACGAAGAGGAAAATGCTCCACACACTCAGGGAGTTGCTCTAATACTGTCCAAACTGGCACGAAATGCACTTGTAGGATGAGAATTTCACGGATCCAGAATCATCAAAGCACCATTCAAATCAAATAATGAGGGGATTACAGTGAATGTTATCCAGTGTTATGCACCCACCAGTGATAGCAATGACGACAACAATAAAGATCAATTCTATGAGTGGCTGCAATCAATCATAGAGAAGTGCCCAAGACGGGACCTCATCATTCTGATGGGAGATCTGAATGCCAAAGTCGGAATAAATAATACCGGATATGAAGATATTATGGGACGACATGGACTGGGAGAGAGAAACGAAAATGGAGAAAGATTTGCAAATTTGTGTGCATTCAACAAATTGGTCATAGGTGGCACAATATTTCCACACAAACGCATACACAAAGCCACATGGATCTCACCACATCACACCACAGAGAACGAGATGGATCATTTTTGTAACCACAAATAATTCCGAAGGACAATGGAAGATGTGAGAACCAGGAGAGGAGCTGATATAGCTTCACCTTGCTGGCCACCTTGTTGTGGCCAATTTAAAACTGCAACTAAAGAAGAACTGGACAACTGGACAAACAGCAATACAAAGCTGCAATACAGCCTTCCTTTGAGATACTGACAGACTCAATGAATTCAAGATAGCTCTCAACAACAGGTCCCAAGCCTTACAGGATCTACTGAAGGAAGAAGAAACGACTATGGAGGACAACTGGAAAGGTATCAAAGAAGCATTAACTTCAATGTGTCAAGAGGTTCTGGGCCTCAACAAGCATCATCATAAGGAATGGATCTCTATAGAAATATTGGACAAGATCAAAGAAAGGAAGAACAAGAAGACAGCAATTAACAACAGCCGAACACGAGCAGAGAAAGTCGAGGCACAAACTGAGTACATAGAAGCAGACAAGAAAGTGAAGAAGAGCATTAGAGCCGACAAGAAGAAATACGTGGAAGAACTAGCAATGACTGCGGAAAAAGCTGCAAGAAAAGAAAATATGAAACAGCTGTATGATACAACGAAGAAACTAGCAGGGAGATATAGTGAACCAGAGAGACCGGTCAAAGACAAAGAAGGCAGGCCAATCACTGAAACTCAACGACAGCGGGATAGATGAGTAGAGTACTTCGAGGAACTCCTGAATAGACCGGCTCCAATGAATCCACCAGACAACGAAGCAGTACACACAGATCATCCTGTGGATGTCAATCCACCAACGACCAAAGAAATCACGATGGTCATCAGACAAATCAAGAGCGGGAAAGCAGCAGGACCTGATAATATACTAGCTGAAGCACTGAAGTCAGACACCGAAGTAACTACAAACATGCTTTATACTCTATTCAAGAAGATTTGGGAGGAGGAACAGGTGCTGACGGACTGGAAAGAAGGACACTTCATCAAGATTCCAAAGAAAGGAGATCTGAGCAAATATGAAAACTACAGAGGCATCACACTACTGTCAATACTAGGGAAAGTCTTTAACAGAGTGTTGCTGAACCGGATGAAAGACACAGAAGACGCTGAACTTGGAGTTCAGGAGGCTGGATTTCGTTGCGATCGGTCGTGCACAGATCGAATTGCAACACTACGGATCATCGTCGAACAATCAGTTGAGTGGAACTCGACACTGTACATCAACTTCATTGATTATGAAAAGGCACTTGACAGTGTAGATAGGAGTACATCACGGAAGCTTCGTCGACACTACGGAGTTCCTGAGAAGATTGTCAACATTATCCGGAACTCATACGACGGAATACAGTGCAATGTAGTGCATGGACGACAGCCGACAAATGCATTCCAAGTAAGAATCGGAGTCAGACAAGTGTCTACTCCCCCACTTCCTCTCTCTTCTGGTGGTCGACTGGATTGTGAAGACCTCGACATCTGAAGGGAAACACGGCGTACAATGGACAGCTCAGAACCAATTAGACGATTTGGACTTCGCAGATGACTTAGCCCTTCTATACCATACACACCAACAAATGCAGATAAAGACAGCCAGTATAGCATCAGTCTCTGCATCAATAGGCCTCAACATACATAAGGGGTAAACCAAGCTCCTCGAATACAACACAGAGAACACCAATCCAATCACACTTGATGGCGAAACTCTGGAAGATGTAGAATCCTTCACATACCTGTGAAGCATCATCGATGAACATGGAGGTTCAGATGCAGACGTAATGGCGAGGATTGGCAGAACGAGGGCCGCATCCCTACAATTGAAGAACATATGGAACTCAAAACAACTTTCAACCAATATCAAAGTCACAATGTTCAATACCAACGTCAACACAGTGCTACTGCACGGAGCTGACGATTGGGGAACTAATACAACCATCATCAAGAAGGTAGAAGTATTTATAAATAGTTGTCTACGCAGGATACTCAACATCCATTGGCCGGATACCATCAGTAACAGCCTTCTGTGGGAGAGAACAAACCAGCTTCCAGCTGAAGAGGTAATTAGGAAAAGACAATGGAAACGGATAGGACATACATTACGCAAATCATCAAACTGCATCACGAGGCAGGTTGTAACTTGGAATTGTGAAGGGAAGCTGAGAAGAGGAAGGCCAAAGAACAGATATGAAAAAGGTGAATAACAACTGGAAAGAGCTGCAAAGGATTGCCTAGGACAGGGTTGGATGGCGAGTGCTGGTTGTCGGCCTATGCTCCTCCATGAGGGGCAAGAGGCGTAAGAGAAAGTGACTATTCGAATTTGTCAGTAGATTGATTTTATCAATAATAGTTTGAGTATAATGCACCTACAGTGTTGAGAACAATTAATTTTCTAGTACGAAGTTAAAAAACAAACTTCATAGACATCTGACAGAAAATTTTGAAAGAACTATGAATAAACTAATTCTATTTTCACAATGTACCTGGATGGCTTGTTAATGCACGAATGAAATACTTTCAAGTGTAATTTCCTCACATGATTCTTTCATAGCCCCACAGAATATATTATGAGAATCCGAGAAGTTAAACATTATTTCCTCAACGAAATCTCCAAACTACACAAGGTATACTACAAATATGAGCTAATCAGAGTCAGTGAATTCCTCACTAGTGCAGAGAAGTAATCAATATGTAAGCGATAAACACAATAATACAGCAAAGAGAAAGGAGCTAGGAAAAAAAGATGTAAAATAGTATGTTTGAGACAAAGAGAATAAATCTGGGTCATTAAGACTGATTTTTGGCCATATTACCCAGTCTTCGGCCAGCGATTTGAATTGTTTTTGAGCCTCAATCAAGAATATTACATCTTTCCACATAGTTCAGGACAACAATCACTGAACTGAGGAGTTGGTGTTATCAGTCTGAACACTAATACACTTCATCTATCGCTTATCTATGTAATAGGCAGTGAATTGGGATATATAATACCTAATTCGATGAAGGTTTACAGCTCCAACAGACTCATCTTCTTTGTTTGATGTGAAAAGTCTGACACGAGTATTGTTTGACTAGTATTCGTTCTATGTTCTACATTTAATCAACATCTTTAACTAATAAAACAATATCATTTGTATATCTAATTACGGTAGAGAATTTTTGGTTAAGCATCGAATATTGAGTCAGGCAGAACATAGGTTATCTCTAAGAGCGTATATCCACAACAGAATTAGATAAATATCCAGAGTTGATAAACATGGTGAGTTATATTTCCAATGATCTTTTTAGAAGTAGCGCACTACAGGTTTTAAGACAAGTAAACGAAAGAAATTAAGGTTTTGTAATGCAATTGTTAAGCACCCTTTAAATTTAACTATACAGTAGAATACGACTGGAATTAAGTAGTGGTATATATTTCTCAACGGGCTTAAGATCCGATCTAAAAACGTCGGTAAGGTCTGGGAGCTATTTATTAATCTTCAATTAACTACATGAATAAATCAGTTTTAATGTTTATAAATGTTTATTAGTCTAACGAAGTAAATACCTTCGATAAACACCTTACCAATAAAAAGAAAAACAGTAAGTAGTATATAGAAGTACTTTATTGTATAATAGAAGGGATATACATGCATGCACTACAGCAAAATACATGGCAGTTTGTTTTAAAAAATCCTGTATTGAATCAGTTTAAACAATGATGATTTTTTCTACTTCAAACTTATATGAATATATGAAAAAGTACAAAAGAAACAAAGTTTACTATTGTTACAAATTGTAAAATATAACAAAGAACGATGAAGATCAAGATATGAGCGCAGACCTAACTCTACAAATACAATGAGTAAATAAATAATATGCCTTAGATATTGGTCTTTTGTTTATTTTCGTCACATAAATCCAAGTATGAACCGAAATTTTAAAAGACTGTTCGTTACAATACATTACAACTACTATTTTATTTGGTTAATTATGAGGTTTCTATAATACACTGGAACCAGTAGAGAAAAAAACAACAGCTGAGAAGAACGTTATTATGTTATTCACTGTGTTTTGTTAAAAAAGAACAAGTGACCTTGTGTTTGTTGAACAAATAAACAAACAAGAAAAAGAAAAGACAACTACACGAAACTAAATCATCACAGTGAAAACCATATAATAATAATAATATGGAATAAACAATACAGAAAAAAGGGGAAAAATGAAAATGATAGGTTGTAAGTTGAATCATATCTATAGATTTGTTTAAAAGTTTTATAGACACAAACAAACACGAGCACAGATGCATTTCAAGTTCTTGTTGTTTGATCAGAAACAAGATTACCACCAACTAGTTGAGCCATTCCACGATTACCGACTATTTTTATCGCAGGGTTGAATACCTGTTATGCAAAAAAGAGTTGAAAATTATATAAACGTGAAGAATATAGGTTTGATATACAGTTAATAAGCGCCGAAGATGGCCTACATTACCATACGCCGCTTTGGCTTTCATTATACGTGGATTGATCTCATCTCTCACACGACCACCAGCACTTATGCAGCTACATAAAAACATGGACTTCTCAACTATTATCCGCTCACTACCCAAAGAGTGCAGGATCAGGGTCCTTCTAGTCTTGGGCAAAAGACGGCCCAGATTAGCATAAGCCGTTCTGGCTTTCGCTATACGTGCATTGATCTCATCACTCACGCCACCACCAGCACTTATGCAGCTAATTAGATACACGAACTTCTAGACTACTTCTATCTGCACACCATCCAGGGTGAGTACAGGATTAGGATCCTGCCAGTCTTGTAGAAGTACTTTGCACTTCGAAGGTACAAAGCACATACCGTACCCACGGACACTGATTGCCAACTGATTAAGTGCGGATTGCATGGCTTGGGCATTATCGCACAGTAAGACAATATCATCCGCGTACTGAAGGCTGAGAAGTCTATCTCCAGGCAACAGATCCACACCACGATTAATTACATCCATCAGAGCTATTTCCAGAATGTCATCGATAGCAAATTTGGAAGGGAATGATGAGATTGAGCAACTCTGTCTAACCCCACTGCTCGAGAGGAACAATGGAGAGAGGTGGTTATATGCCCTCACTCTGCATGAGGTGTATGTATATAGGGCCTTTAGGATTTTAATAAACTTCTCAGGCACATTCTTCTTCAATAGACAATTCTAAAGAACAGTCCTGTCCAAAAAATTGAAGGCAGCCCTGATGTTTCCAACTCATTGGAACGCTCCGACCACCAGGCTTCTCGGTCCTTACGCAAGCTTTGCCCGACTTCCTTACGTAACATTTTTCGTTTGTTGTCAAACTCACGATCACCCGGAGTAGACCGACGGGCCTCAATGAGTCGTAAAGAGTCTGAAGAAACCCAGTGCTTATAAGCGGGACGTTTCGCGAAGTTGCAAGCGGCTTCACTCGCCATTTTCATGGCGATATGCAGTTACAACCAATGCTCATCTATACTTTTCAGTGGAATGGTAGCTAGCCTAGAAGCTAGCTCAGTTCGATACTTAGTTGCAACAGAAGTTGCAACGAGATTACTGACATCAATCTGTTTAGGACGATGAATTTGTCCACCACTGTAAAGTAAGATTAGCGCAAACAAGGGAATGATCAGAGTCCAGATAGGTACCCCAAAAGGAGCGGCGGTCTTGAACACAACCACGCCAGCGGTAGCTGATCGCGATGTGATCAATCTGAGTCCAGGATTGAGATGAGGAGGGAGGACGCCAGATGGCACATCGGTGATGACTGTGCCGGAAGTTAGTGCTAGCTAGAAACAGGTTGTGGTCCCCGTTATCTGTCCTGTGACCAACAAGTCCCCATTGGCCACCTAAACTACTCTCTCCTGTGCCTAGACGCCCGACCTGAGCATTCAAGTCTCCGGCTAGTACTAAAATATCTGTCGAACGCACTTTCTGGAGAAGAACTGATAACTGATGGTAGAATTCATCCTTGATCGCATCCGGGCTGCAATCTGTCGGAGCATAGGCGGAGATGACGAAAAGACATCGTTTCTCACGCCGATTTCTTCTCACTTTGATGGAACTTTCTAATCTAACAGCACATAACCGACTGTTAATGGGGATCCAATCGACTAGTGCTGCCTCAGCTCTAGCGCTTAGTGCGACACCAACGCCAGCAAGACCAGACGAAGATGCTACAGGGTCCCCGGATAAGCGCACGTAAAACAAGCTTTTTGAAGCGACAGATGGAGAGCAAATTTGTAGTACTTCACCAGAGTCTTGAATATGGGTCTCGGATAGACAACAAACATCGATATTAAGACTTTCCAAAGACATAACCAGCCCTATCTGTTGTCCGACCTGAATAAGTGTGAGAACGTTGAAGGCAGCCAGTTTGAACGGTGCACGTGGTTTCAGAAAAACTGCTTCAGTACTCGAACTTGGTGGTAGCATACAATTTTCAACCAGGCAGTGACTCAAGAACGTTTAGACAGAACCGAGTTTCCACCATAGGCGAGCCGCTGTATAAGTTAAAACATAAGGATACACAAAGTGAGGAAGGAAGCGAATAGATAAGTGACGCAGTACATGAAAAAATAAAAATGAACGTGGATTGTCTGAATTTTAATTGAAGCGAGAATAGTATTACCAGTATGAATTGTCATTTCATCTTATTTGTGTGTGGGCTGCCTTTTGGTTATGTAGTGGTTGGCGTTATGTATGATTCTACCCACCTAAGAAGAACAAATTTCAGATGTGCAACAAACATGGACATAAAGAAGGTCATTGTCCACCGAATCATACGTCCCAACCCAAGAAGAAATATAAACGTCGTCGACACACAATGAATCCAGCCATATCTAAAATCACTTTCTCCGGTAGCATCTTTCCAAACAGACTATGACATTCGGAGGAAGTATGTGTGCCGATTTCTCAACAGGTTTAAACTCTGCATTAGTTGTATACCAGTATCCATTAACAGACCTTGGAGATCCGTTTGCTAGCCTTAATGGTGAAACATGTTTCGTGAAAATGGGCTACTCAGATGCCTATCTGAAAGTGGAAATAGATTATTATTGCAGAGAGCTCCTAAATATCAACACTCATCGAGGGTTATTTCAATATATTCGTCTACCGTTTGGCATCATGATTGCACCTATCATCTTTCAGCAAATGATAGATAAGATGTTAACAAGTATATCTGTGACAGCAGCTTATCTAGGTGATATCATAGTTATAGGTTCAACTGACAGTGACATTTCTGATCGAGTACATCAAGTACTTAAGTGAGTGATGGAGTATGGTTCCCAACTTCGTGAAGAAAAGTGTAACTTCTTCATTCATTCGATCAAATACTTTGATTTCATCTTAGATAGGAACGGTCACCGACCAGATCCTGTCAATCTAGAAGCCATTCAGAAGATTCCTGCATCAACTGATGTTCTTTCATTAAGATCATTCTAGGGATTAATTAGTCATTACATCACATTTCCGTCTGACATGCATCGAGAGGTCACCAGAATGAATTATCATCGAAAGGCAAACCTTGGCAGTGGTCAGTAAAATGTCAAGCATCTTTCAACAAGGTCAAATCAGTGCTCAGCTAAAAGCTTCTTTTAACACACCTCGATCCTAGCTTTGGAGTTGTCTTTACATCTGACCCTCTGGTCATGGAGTTGAAGCAGTGATATCTCACGTGTTTCCGAACAAATCAGAAAAGAAAATTGCTCATGCTGCTAGCACGACCGTTGCTGTTACCTTGAAGTGGTGGTCGGGCTTGCCTATCGTGATGAACCAATCGAGTTATACCGGCTGGAACAATCGTTCCTCAAGGTCTTACTATGCCAGACAGGTCTGTTGAAGAGCGGTAAGACTAAAAGCAGAAACCCCAAAGCCCATGGGTGTGGCGGCAGTAAGGTGTTTCCCTCAGACAACCAGCAAAACAGCAATGCTGCTTCCCCACAAAGAAAGGTGGAGTTGGAAAGGGTCGACCCTAAAAAAGCACACCTCGCCTTATCCCACTGACTTCTGTCTCCCGCAGCGAGGTCCCAACAAGTACAGAGCTAACACGAAAATTACTCAAAAACTGTCGTGTGTGACCGACCTCAAGCAGTTGTCCCTTGGACACTGCGGTCACGCTCTCAGGTCACTAAGACCACCTTTAATTCAATTTCCTTTTCAGGTACCTCCAGAAAAATCCTTCCACGGTGTGGGCAACCGGGAAGTGATAACTGCCCTCATACCCCTAACAGCACTCAAGATCATTGTATTCATAATCAATCTCCCTCTTCAATTCGTATTATTCCTCCTACCTCGACTTTCAACTCTAAACTTCCTCCTCAAGTGTCACCATGACCAACGATTCTAGTGCGCAAAATACTGTCCTAGGTCAACTGAAACTTCGCTCTAAACTATGCATTGGAGTCTTCAACGTATGCATCCTGTGTCAAGTCGGCCAGCAGGCCTCCTGACTAAAACCCTAGAATCTCGTATCATTGATGTGTGCTGTGTCTCCGAAACACGCATACAGGATCCTAGTGTGGTCATTCATTTAACCTCACCTCGCCAAAACGGTGAGCCGACGAGATACGCCCTCCGTGTATTTGAGGACCCGATGGCTAGTTCTGGCGGACTGGCAGATGCAGGCATAGCACTAAGTACAAGCTCAGAACAAGCACTATTAAAATGGATCCCCTTTAACAGTCGTCTATATGCTGTTCGGCTAAACGGCTCCATAAGAACTCGAAAAGAAGGACACACGTCGTTGCCTTTTCGTCGTTTCTGCCTACACTTACACTGACTGCAACCCGGATCAAGTGAAGGATGACTTTTACAGAAAGTTTTCTGAAATTTTTCATAAAGCTAAGCACTCAGACATAATGCTCGTATCAGGTGACTTTAATGCACATGTAGGTAGCTTAAACTAAACAGAAAGACATTAAGATGGGTATTATAGTATTCCGGTTCAGCGAACAGATAATGGTGATCGCCTGCTGCAACTGTTCTCAGACAATCGTTTATTTCTAGCAAACTAATTTTAAACATAAGGGTAGATATCGTGTAACATGGCGACCCCCTGCACCAAACCGACGATGGACTCAAATAGACCATATTGCCATCAGTCATTGTTGGAGAGAGTCGGTAGAAGATTGTCGCTCATTCTGGAGTACCTGCTTGGACTCCGACCACGCCCTAATACGGGCACGCATCTGCTTGCGCCTCACTGGATGCAGAAAAACCACACTAAAAAGACCCATTAGCATTGAATTGAGTAATGAGAAAACCAAAAGTCTATTCCAGCAACAACTGAGGTCACACTTAGTTAGTTCTGAAAACGAGGCTGGCCCAGATGTTGCTTGGAAAGATATACAAACAGCTGTGGAAACAGCAGTGACATCTATT